TTATTAAAATTAGAAATTATTGTTTTTTATGAACAAGACTTACACATTCTTACACTTATCCAGAGGTTAACAACAACAAAAACTATATTATTTAATCATAGCCAAATAATTCTTTTTTTTAATGTGACTCGAACCATGCCTGCCTCAACTTGCAAAGCAATCCATAAACCGCTAGGCCACGACCACGTCTTTACCATAGCTAGTTGAAATTTGTATTCTGTATTTAGTACGAACTATACGTTAAAGATCAAATTGGCTTAAAAACTTTCTTACAATGTCATTCACTACGTGACGACCAGGGAGTCGTACCAAAAAAAATTTTACGACTCACAAGTTAAAGATTAAGTTTGTTTAACAATTTTCTTCACATTTTTGTGCTCAGAACCAAAAGGTCGACAAAGTCGGCTTGGGGGGTCAGGTATCTTGTGTATATGACTGTACCAAGAATAAACAGGCATGTTTGAAGAGACTGATGGAAGTGGATGACACGAAGGATATTTGTCAGGAGCGTAACAGGTGGAGGTCCAGGACCTCTGTCTACTTCGGTGAGAGATAGACCTGATGATATATATTTATGTACGACACAATAACAAAGTGTTTATTAACAACAATGAAGTGTTTGAAATTTGTCAACACGAATTAAAAATAAAAATTGTTTCAATATGGGAAAAGAAAACATTTGTGTATTTATTTCAATTCCAGTGGGTTTATATCTGCTACAGTCAGATTATTTTCAATACATATGATCCTACATTGTACGTGTAGTGAGTTAGGTGCTTATTTATTTTTACATATTCAAATAAGATGACTTTTTCATTTATGTCTTATTTACTTCACGTTAAATCTAAGTGGTATGGTTTAGATTCAACAAAAACAATGTAATCTTGGTTTATCATTACCATACCGTAATAATACGCATTTCATTAAAATCTAATTAAAATTAAATCAGATTTCATAGGACTAAGAGAGACTATGTGCTTGTGTATACTTTATTTTCATTGTATGCTGCATTAAAATTTAAAAAAATTCACAATCGGCCTCTATAATTAAAGAGAACTTACTTTGACTTGAAAAAGGCAGATTCAGTAATTAAAAACCCTTTTTTCATGTGATGCGGCAAGCGTGTAAACGTGTGGTTAAAATTTAATCATGGTCTGAGGTTTAAGCAAATGAGGCATAATGTTTACTGAGACCGGGCTTTGCCTTCGCAAACATTTGCTTTCTGTTCAACCTCCAGCGTACATATTTAATATAATTAGTAGTAAATGAGGTCAATTTATGTTTTATTTAGGAAATTATTTGTATAATTTAATACTAACAGTAGCTCCTTGTGAAAGAGTTCGTCCAGGGATGTACTACCACCTTACCTATGTCTACCGCCAAGCAGTAATGTGAGCATGACTGCGTTCTCGTTTTGAAGGGTGCTATGGTGAAATTACAGGCACATGGGACTTATCAATTTATGTGTTAAGGGTCGTTTAACTGCCTCCATGGTCGAACGGTAACCATGCCGGACTGCCACGCAGACGTCCCGGGTTTGATTCCTGTGAAGGGAGAAATATTTGTATGGCCTACATCTATTTCTCTTGTGAGTTTGGGTGTAATTTGTGGTTGTCTATGTGTGTCCACGGCACCCGCGACACAGGGATTCCCTAGCGCGGGGCTGTGAGTGTGTGCGCGTTATTATTATTACCACCAGACCCACGACTTGTTCGTCCCGTCACTTCTTATAATAATAAAAAAATAAAGAAAATATACACATAGTCTAGGTCGTCGTTAGAGTAAGGAACTGAGGCAAACCACGCGGAAAACGGTTGCTTCTTAAATAACAGCATCTTCATTTTTTAACTTGTAAGTTAGGACAAAATGTAAATTTTGTTCATTACCAAATGTACCTAACATTTGGTAATGTTTAGTAAGAAAACGCCTCTCTTATGTCAAAGAAAAACAACAATGCAAACAAAGTTTCACAATCCTTGGAAGATTGTGTTAGTCCCTAACCCATATTTTGCCAGTTTACAAATGATAGCCTAAACTCGAGAGAGCCGTGCGGAAGATGATGATGAAGCTTTTGTTAAATTTGTACACACTTATTTGCATGTTTTAAACATAAATGTACATTTTGGGTATTTTATTTAATATAATGTAAAGTTTTATGAGGTTTGTTAATAGCATAGTTTATTAACTATACATTATTGTTACCCATTTAATGTAAATCTTCTTAAAAGTAAATGAAACAAATACCGTCAAGTTTAGTAACTTTGACAACTAGCTTTACGACTTTGGTTCGATTCCCGGTAGAAACCCATTTGGGGAAATAAAAAATAAAATAAATAAAAAGACATTTATTTATCCACAAAATACACATAAAACTAGTACAAATAATAAAACACCGACAACTAAAACAGAAATGTGAATAAAAAGGTTGAAGACTCAGCATTGCTGATTTTCAGTCTACACCTAAAACTATATCTATTCGCTTGCTACAACCGTGAATGAACTGTTCTAAAACGGTTTTGATCTAGGTGCTCTGGGTAGTGCCGCGGATGCCATCCATCCCAGTTTTATTTCCAATATGAATGAGTGAGAGAGTAATTAAACATCAGAGTTACAATATATTTGGTTACGTTTACGTCTTTTTACATGTACTCTATATTTGGTACTCTAATTACAGTTATTGAGCTCGTTAATAACACTTACCACAGTAAGTATTTATATAGGTAAATACGTACTGGTAGCTCAAAACACGGTGCGGGGTACCTAAGCTACTTTACACGCGCGCGCGATTTTAAGCAGCGAGGCTAACGCGATGCAAGCGATCAACTGCATCGATACAAACGCACGATTGCGTCGCTACTTTTGGTATTTATAGGCCATTGCATCGATGCAAACGCGCGACTGCATCGATACAAACACGCGATGTAAACTGGCGCTATGCAGTCGCGCGTTTGAATCGATGCAATCGCCTATAAATCGCAAGTGTAGCAAAACAATCGCGCGTTTCATGAACGCGAGTTTGCATCGCTGCTAAAAATCGCCGTATTTTAGCAGCGATACTCTTTCTATTGTATCTGAAGTCGTAGTAAACGCAGAATGAAATATTCTTTCCTTTCATTTGTATTATCTATTTATTATTAGTGTTTATATCCCAAGTAGTACAAATTGGTCTAATGACGGTTTTGTAGATATCTAATGGAGTTTGATCAAGCATAGGAGTAAGTTGTCCTGGGGGCCTACCATAATCTTTCAAAAAACAATCTTATTTCAATGTAAGCATATAGTAAGCTTATTATAATATTACTCATATTCGTACCATGACAAACCTATCAATCAAGTAATGTATTATTGTTAAAGTGACTGATAGAACGAATGATTTCCAAATATGGTCTATTCCTTACTAAAAATAGGAAAGAAATAACGCTATATGAACTGTATAATGCCATCTCTTTCTTTTTTGATGTTCCGAATCGTCCTATCGTCGTATATTGTTAAAGTACCTACTTAATATTATTTGCCAAAAAAAGAAAAGTATGTAATAATGAAATCTTTTAAAATTACGTTGTTTTCAATTATTTTTCCGCATTTTCATGAAGAAAAATAAATAAAACAAGCTGAGTTTTGATTGTCATGTTGTCATGTCGGAATTATAGTCTTGTATCAACTGTTAGTCTCGCTAAGGAGCATATAGATGTCGCTGTCACAATTTTACGAAATTAACATCGTGTATTTTTATATAACGAGAAATCATTTCCTATGTACTATTAAATAAAAAAACAAACAAAATATTAAAGAGATATATGTAAAAAAATAAGTTCAAATAACTTTTAATCACTACAAATCATTATAAAGACAACAAAATTGAAAATAATATTGTTTCCATTGCATCGGTATAACTATTTTAAGATTGCTAAACTTGACATAAGAACAATATTACTTTAATGTTAAGTCATAGTACGAACTGAGTGAATGAATAGTCACAATGCTGTCAATAAAACATCATAGTTTTAACATTATTACAAAATAAGCTTACTTTAAGCGCGTCAAGGTACGAAAAGTCAATGTAAGGTTAAAGTAATATTGTTTTAAGACGTTGTGGTAGACCCCCCGTAGATATGTCGTAGACGTTGTATAGATAACCTCTAGGCAAAAGGGGCACCGGTTCAAGTCACAAGACTTAGGATAGACTTAGGAGAACATCTTTAGACAGTATATAGAGAACTTACTCTAATCATTAACTTTAAGAACACGTTAATATAGTTTATAATGCAAGTTTTTATCTATTAGGTAAGTTATAGATATCAATGCTCATATTTTTGGGCTAAATAAAAAGTGTAGCGATCTCGAACATACTCGAACATAGTTTCATTGGGTTAACTGTAGGGCTGATTTAAAAAGGTACAAGTGTCCCAACTAAATTATAACTATTGTTGTGCAGTTTCAATGCAATCGGATGCAGCACGTCATAATTTGTTTAAAAACGTGTACATTAATTAATTTTTGTATTTTAATAATATAATCAATATTATTAATATATTAAATAATCGTGTGTTTGGTACAAAACCAAATTATAACAAAAAGTTTTTTAGTCGATGTTTCCGTTAGTAACGGATTTCATAGAAAATATTCCATACTGTACTATTTAATTGTTAAGTTTTGTTATAGAACATTTTCTTGAATATTGTCATGTGAATTTGCAATTGTAATTTTCATATTTTATTTTGATCTTGAATTGTTAATGTAAAATTACGTAAAAGATTGTAGCTGAAATCAAGAAGTAGGAACGATATTTTCGCGCGCAAGGCCATAGTGGAACTACCTTTATAGGAGGTGTCTTAAAAGGTCGACTGCTGAATAAATTATAGTCGTAGACGTGATGACGAGAAAAATGTACAAATTAGTTATAAATATTTAAGTGATCAGACCCCAAAGACACGTGATTTATTACACACATGTGATACGCACTTATTACATATCAATAATTTTCTTTCTCTTGTCCACAGCAATTACATCAGCCCATGAGATCACGCAGCTGAAAGTGCCGTTATACGCAGATCCACGGCAGGCAGCCGAACTGAGCTGTCATTTCAGTATGGACGACCAGCGGCTGCACTCTGTCAAGTGGTACAGAGATATGAACGAAATATTCCGATATAATCCTTCACAAAAGGTGAGATTTTCAACGTCTACACTACATGTTACATAATGTGTACGCGACCAACTGCTCGGTTGATTATTGATAGATGAAAAAGTCGGCTGCATTTGTTAACCGCGTAACTCCGTTTTTGGACAAATTCCTTTTTTTACTCTTCAAGCGCAATATCGGGCAATTTTGGGCAAAAATCTTTATTTAATGATTTAAATAAAGGTATATAATAATAGATTGTCACATAATTATTTCTAGTAATTCTGTTTTTTGTGCCTATTTATAAGTTCATATTAATGGAGGTTAGGTACGAATTTAGCCGACGATAACTATGTATAATTACCGATATCTATGTACTAGAGTACTAGGTGCGGCGTTCCATACACAGCAATAGCGATTTTTGCAGGGGCTTTACGTTAATTCCGCAACTATGGACAAATATAATTGGTAAACACTCAATATTAACTGCCTGATTAGCTCATTCCTAATAGGTCACGTCTGTCCACTGTACTACTGTACTGATACTCTTTGACAAAATTCAACACTAAAACAAAACACTATCACTGTTACCAGTGTTTTCTTTGGAACTATTTGGAACATGTATTTAGATGTTCCAAATAGTTACTGTGAATGTTCTTATCTATAGATTGAAGTCTTTATGTTAATACATGTATTACACATATGCGCGAGCAACCGTAGTACCTATATATTTTTTGACATAGTTTTTCTTCTTCTTTCTTCTTTTTGTTTGTTTCTTTAAATTCTTTCCGTTAAGTAAAAGGCAAAGGTTTAACTAAATACAGCCAAGTGTTGGTGAATTATTCCTTACTACATGTAGCTGTTAATTTTGTTTTTGTTGTTTTTATAATTATTTCCGTTGCGAAAAAGGGAAAGGTTTAAAACCATACAGCCAGGTTTTTTTGTTATATTTAGGTACTTAAATACGCCTTCGCCACACACACGCAAAATAGGTCTACGCCAAGACTTCTGTCCAATATACATATTTTATAGGCATTACGCCTCGTCTTCGGTGGATCGTACCAGAGTGGGGTCAATTCAGGGTACTGAGTTCGAAGTTTAATTCAGTTAAATTGTCATTGCGTAAAAACTAATAGTAATAATACATTCATGTTACGATTCCGAAGGACATTTAATAAAATACAAATAATTCCAAATTTTTGACGTTCGAGATGCGAAACTAAATAAAGAGGAGAGAAAGAGAAAGTCCTAAGGTAGTATATCTAGTCGTAAAGATGAGTGATCCAGCTACCACGACAGCTACATCTACGCATGCCTACCCGATAGTGCTAACTGCGTAGAATATGTATGTTATTTACATTACGATCTTAGTTTGTCAAATAGTATTTAGTGTAGTGTCATGTCATATAACACGTGTGTAATGTCATATGAGTCATATACATTTTTCAATAGATACGACTTTATTTGGATTAGAAATAATACTCCAAGCTGTACCTATTTGATAATGGTCTCTACATCAATGGTATAGAAGAATAAATAACATATTTATAGGTCTCATTTGATTCCATTTTTTATAGAATGGGGTCGCATTGCAATGGGCGTTACATTATAAAACATTTAAATGAGACTATCGTGTAATAAGAGAAGATAATAGCTCTAAAAGAAGTGCTAAGCCTCCCCCACACGCACATAACTTATTTTTTAAATATTTTTGAACCAGCTTTGTATTCTTTTATTATGTATTTAGGATACGTGGAAATTTTGAAGACCTCCGTGGTCGATTGTCTTGTACACTGGTTTTCATGGTCGCCATCTCTAAGGCCCATGTTCGATCCCAGACCAGGTAGAAAAACTAATAGAAAAACTAACATTTTCTATATTGTCTCGAGTCTGGATGTTAGTGGTATCGTCCTTGTTTATACCATAAAACAAGTGCTTTAGTTATTTACTTTGGATTTAAAGCAACGTATGTGATGTCTTGTATTTATATTTATTTTATTTTAAATAAATCCTTTACTTTAATGGGTTAAAATAATTAGATATTGTCATAATTATAAAATAAAAAATACGAGCAAAAATCAATTAAAAACGCGTTTTTCTTTTGCCAAAATCGCGTCATATGATACGGAATCAGCACCTTGATATACAAATAATACCATTTTAACAAAAAAAGATTGCGACACTTCGTATATTGGCTGGTCCAGAATACAAACTTGTGGTGCCATAGAGCTTTAGAACGCAAAGATCTGAGGGGCACAGTCACGGCGCCCGTCACCCTGAGACATATGTTGACCCCATGTGCCTGTAATTTCACCCTTATCCTTCAAAATCGGAACGCAGGAATGCTCACATTACTGCTTGGTGGCCGAAATAGATAAGGTGGCAGTACTTTTCGGGAAGAACTCTTTGACAAGGAGCTCTACAGCTACTTTTAGCTAGGAACCACCTTGATTTATATTATTGGTTATAGATTTACTTTTCTAACTCTCAATTTTAATGAAAATAACGACCACGGTACAACCCGCGGCAGTGACGCGACGCATATTGACCATTTTTTTTCTCTAGCTTTGGCGACAAAGCCATCAGTTTTAAAATTTTTTACGAACGTGAATGTCTTTCTTGACAGAAATCAATTTCCCCCGTCCTCTTAGTATCAAATTACATAACTTTGAGAATATTTTAAAATAAATAATTCTATGTTTTCTTAATAAAAAGAGAATCTAGGAAATAAAACTATTTTTCCGGATTTAAATCGCATATATTTGTTTTTTCAAACAAACCGACGTTTCGGGCCCTTTACAGCTCCCATGGCCACGATTGACTGAGGTGGTACAGTCTTCAACCAGTTATAATAACTGTTATTATAACTGGTTGAAGACTGTACCTCCTCAGTATAGGGCTTCAGATGAAAATCAAAATTTTGCAGGTTCTCTGTAGTACTGAAAGAGAAATATTTCCATATAAAAATTGTGTACAAAGTTAGATATTTTGTTCCTAAATAATTCGTTTTAGACTTATATTTTGCCCTGTTTTCAGGATTTTGTTAAATACATCCTATCGTGTAATACATTACCACATTCCTTACACAATACTAGACAATATCTTGAGGTGTATCGTATATGTCTCGTGAGACCATTATTTAATAGCAAATACCTTAACCATTTCATCTAGCAAAACAGTTTATTCCGCTTCTCCTCCGGTGACTCGTTACGTCAGCAAGATTTTTCGGAGCTTACAGTATACATGGACACAACTGAATCAATTTCCAAGTTTTCGGCAACTTAGTAAATAACGCAGAAATATTCATATTTTGAATAAACTTACGTTTGATTTACTTATCGGGTGTTTTATTGGAAAAGTACACATAAGAAAAAGTCATGCCGTGGTAAAAAACCTGTAACTGAACTGAAACTTTAAGAAAAGAAACCTTAAGTGGACACTTAATAACTCGACAGTAATAATAAATTACTAGTTTTCTGTGCTCGCCAAGATCTTGCCAAGATGGTTCGCGATTGCCATTCAATAACGATCATATAAATAAAAAATCAAAATTATAGAATACCTGAAAAAGGAAACGCAATTTTTTTACAAAAAAGTAAGTGCGTATTTGACCTCCATCCACCTGATGGGGGATGAGGTGGACGATGAAGCATGCACTTAAATAATGCGTATTCACTCTGCATACCTAAATAATGCCTATTAACTGACATGAGGATGTCTGAAGCAGATTTATTCCGACAATACGACCGTCTTTGTTGGCGCCAGCCGCGAGATTTAGAGGGAGTGGAAGTCGCACCAGCCGACTATCGCAGACTTTGCAGCTGGCAGAGAGATCGAGTGGCACTTCCTATCTCCGTCAGCGCCCTCTGTAGGTGGAGTTTGGGAGCGTCGGATGCCTCAAACAAACTCTTGCGGCAACACTAAAGGAGAGAGCGACTCGGGGGGAGGTCTTGCACACACTACTACTCGAGGCGGAAGGCGTAATAAATTCACGACCGCTGACGCATGTGTCTGTTGAGTCACGGGATGCTCCAGCACTAACGCCTAATCATTTCCTCCTGGGCCAATAATTTTCACTCCTCGGACCAGTCGATCTCACGGACAACGACCTGGTACGACGGTCCAATGGGAAAAAAGCAGCGAGACTCACAGATTATTTCTGGAATCGATGCGTGCGGGAGTATGGGAGTATTTGCCGTTACTGAACCCAAGAAGGGGACACAATACACGTATATCAAAAATTTAAAGATCGGCGATATCGTCGTGATATGCGATGGTAACTTACCGCGAGGAGTGTGGCCTAAGGGCACGATTGTCAAGGTCCACCCTGGTCGAGACCACATTGTCAGGGTAGCGGACGAGCAGGACGGACGGCTGGTGGGATATTAAGACGTCCAGTCAGGAAGCTCGCAACGCAGGACGTTAATTTTAGTGACTAAGTTATTTGTTTTTTTTTTGCATTGTATAGTTTTAGCATAGTACTAGGGTCTGTCCCGGCCTACTACTTAAGGTAAACTGCTAGTTTACGAGGAGGGCGATGTCTAGGTCAGACCCTCTTTATAGTTTTTGGATGTGTAATTAGTCTATGTTTAACACTTCGCCTCTATGTCCTTTTCTTGTCTGCGTGCTTCCACTGCTGTTTCTTACTGTATGTTTTTCCTTTCTAATAATACACCTTTTCCTACCTAAACAGCCGTTCCCTTCGTTGTCCTCGATAACAAGTATTATTTCAATATATTCGAAATCAGGCACAAATTATAAGAGACCTGTGTCTCGGGATTGTTTGTCAAATAACCAATGTGAGCATTTACGTTTGAATATCCGTACCGATACAATAATTAGCACTTTTTCTGCTTTAGTGAAAGAAGATATTTGTACCGTGGTTTGTCAATTGAATCAAAAGTAAAAGAAAATTCATATCATGCAGAAACAAACTTGGAAGTAATGTCTTTGCCTGAACGATTGTACAGACAATAACAAAAGTTTTGTCTCCTAAAATGCCAGGTTTGCCAAAAAACTCTAACTATAACCAAATTCAAATGTAG